CCCGGCACGGCAGAGATATGAGGAGGAACAGGAAGAAAATAAGAGAAGAGGAAAGAAGAGTTAAAGAGGAAGAAGGAAGAAGAAGAGAGAAGGAGAGAGAGAGAGTAAAAAAAAGAGGGCAAGCAAATGAGACGATTATAATATCCATCACAAGCGGATACTTATGTTTACGGACGGCGCAATCCGTTAAGAATAATTTGTTGTCAGGTGCTTATGGCGCCGAATCAAATTGGGCGAAATCAGCGTAATTGGAGCTGCGATCGCTCTGGGGAGATTTAGTATCAAATCATAGAAGTTGATAAGGTTGCAGATGGTTTTTCAAAGCGTGGTGCCAAGGAACAATTGACTTTTTTTTCGCTCTTTCGCCTATCTAATCTTACATATAGTATGATTTATGCAAGATTGTCTATTTGTGTGTAATAGCTCTAACGGGCATTTTGTTTGACGCGCGGTCTATGACAAAAGTGATAAAATAAATATTCCTTTCCAGACAGGCGGGCGGTCAGTTTTGGTGTGTTGTTTTCTTTTTCATTTATTATCTTTTTTTTTTTTTTTTGCTTTCTGGTTTATATTTTCTTCCTCTATTTTACATAATTGGTTTTCCGTCCATTTTTTACAACCTTTTTTTCTAATATTACCGTAATATTCATCAGTTTCTCTTCTCTCACATTTTTATTAATCTTCTCTTATTCTCTCTCTCTTTTTATAATCCTCATCTCTCTCTCTCTCTCTCTCTCTCTCTCTCTCTCTCTCTCTCTCTCTCTCTCTCTCTCTCTCTCTCTCTCTCTCTCTCTCTCTCCCCTCTTCATCCGTATTTTTCGCTTTTTTATTTCCAATTTCTGTTTTTTTTTCAATCCTTTTCTCTTTTCTCTTTTTCCTCTCTTCTTCTACTTTCAATTCCTCTCTATCCTTATTTTCTTACTCTTTTTTTTCTTTCTTTTCTAAATTCCTATATCTCTTCCAAATCTCTAAAACTAACCATTTTCTCTCTGTCTTTAACTATCCCTCGTTTCTTGGTCTTCATTATTGTCTCTCTTCTTCTGTCTCTCTCCTTATCCATATCTCTTCCCACAATCTCCATCTCTCTCTCTTCCCTCAATCTCCATCTCTCCCTCTTCCTTCAATCTCCGTCTCTCCCTCTTCCCTCGATCTCCATCTATTCCTTTTCCCTTAATCATCATCTCTCCCTCTTCCCTTAATCTCCATCTCTCCCTCTTCCCTTAATCTCCATCTCTCCCTCTTCCCTCAATCTCCATCTCTCCCTCTTCCCTTAATCTCCATCTCTCCCTCTTCCCTCAATCTCCGTCTCTCCCTCTTCCCTCAATCTCCATCTCTCCCTCTTCCCTCAATCTCCGTCTCTCCCTCTTCCCTCAATCTCCATCTCTCCCTCTTCCCTCAATCTCCCTTAATCTCCATCTCTCCCTCTTCCCTCAATCTCCCTTAATCTCCATCTCTCCTTCTTCCCTTAATCTCCATCTCTCCCTCTTCCCTCAATCTCCATCTCTCCCTCTTCCCTTAATCTCCATCTCTCCCTCTTCCCTTAATCTCCATCTCTCCCTCTTCCCTTAATCTCCATCTCTCCCTCTTCCCTTAATCTCCATCTCTCCCTCTTCCCTTAATCTCCATCTCTCCCTCTTCCCTTAATCTCCATCTCTCCCTCTTCCCTTAATCTCCATCTCTCCCTCTTCCCTTCATCTCCATCTCTCCCTCTTCCCTCAATCTCCATCTCTCCCTCTTCCCTTCATCTCCATCTCTCCCTCTTCCCTCAATCTCCATCTCTCCCTCTTCCCTTCATCTCCATCTCTCCCTCTTCCCTTATTCTCCATCTCTCCCTCTTCCCTCAATCTCCATCTCTCCCTCTTCCCTTCATCTCCATCTCTCCCTCTTCCCTCAATCTCCATCTCTCCCTCTTCCCTCATCTCCATCTCTCCCTCTTCCCTCATCTCCATCTCTCCCTCTTCCCTTCATCTCCATCTCTCCCTCTTCCCTTATTCTCCATCTCTCCCTCTTCCCTCAATCTCCGTCTATCCCTCTTCCCTCAATCTCCATCTCTCCCTCTTCCCTCAATCTCCGTCTATCCCTCTTCCCTCAATCTCCTTCTATCCCTCTTCCCTTATTCTCCATCTCTCCCTCTTCCCTTATTCTCCATCTCTCCCTCTTCCCTTATTCTCCATCTCTCCCTCTTCCCTTAAACTCCATCTCTCCCTCTTCCCTTAAACTCCATCTCTCCCTCTTCCCTTATTCTCCATCTCTCCCTCTTCCCTCAATCTCCATCTCTCCCTCTTCCCTTATTCTCCATCTCTCCCTCTTCCCTCAATCTCCATCTCTCCCTCTTCCCTTATTCTCCATCTCTCCCTCTTCCCTCAATCTCCGTCTATCCCTCTTCCCCAATCTCCATCTCTCCCTCTTCCCTTATTCTCCATCTCTCCCTCTTCCCTCAATCTCCGTCTATCCCTCTTCCCTCAATCTCCATCTCTCCCTCTTCCCTTAATCTCCATCTCTCCCTCTTCCCTTAATCTCCATCTCTCCCTCTTCCCTCAATCTCCTCTCTCCCTCTTCCCCCAATCTCCATCTCTCCCTCTTCCCTCAATCTCCATCTCTCCCTCTTCCCTTAATCTCCATCTCTCCCTCTTCCTTCAATCTCTCCCTCTTCCCTCAATCTTCCTCTCTCCCTCTTCCCTTAATCTCCATCTATCCCTCTTCCATTAATCTCCATCTCTCCCTCTTCCCTTAATCTCCATATCTCCCTCTTCCCTCAATCTCCCTTAATCTCAATATATTCCTCTTCCCCCAATCTCCATCTCTCCCTCTTCCCTCAATCTCCCTTAATCTCAATATATTCCTCTTCCCTCAATCTCCATCTCTCCCTCTTCCCCCAATCTCCATCTCTCCCTCTTCCCTCTCCCTTCCCCCCATGACGAAGGAGGTGCGAAGGGACGCCGAAAGAGCCACGGAGCCAGAGTACAAATGCTGATGAGGACGAAAGGTGATCCGTCTTCATCAGGCGTCGAAGCATTATCCAGTCAAAAGAAGAATTGTATGCGTGTGTGTGGTTTCGGGCGGCCGCCATCTTTGGTCAGGTTCATTTGTTTTAATCACAGGTGTAAAATAACCCCACGGATGAGAAGGAGAGAGAGAGAGAGAGAGAAGGGAGTGGGAAGGGAGAGCGAGAGGTGGTGAAGGAGAGACAAAAAAAATGTAGAAGGGAAAAAAAAAATATATAAAAATTAAAACGAGAGATGAAGTTCGCGTGTTGTTTTTCTCTCAAAATGTGTAGTCGTAATGGTTACTCATGCGACCGTGTTCTGAGAGAGTCTGACCATGTATAAGCGGTGTTCTCTTGTTCTTATTTGGCTTTGCTTATTTCCAAGGGGTATTTAAACTTTTTGATGTTTCCATTTTGGCTTTGGGTTAACTTAGAGTCGGGTTATATAAGCCAGTGTCACTTAAAAGCGACCACTTCATCTCGACGGCGAGGAGTATAATGAAAGTCAGATATGTTAACGGTAGAGCTTTTTTAAAAATTGTTTCAAAGAAGGAATTCGTATAATATTATTCATTTAATTCGAAGGAAGAAGAAGTGGTGGTCATATTTTTTCGTGTTTATAGATATTGTTGTTGTGTTTTTGTGACTATTTTTGTCAGTTAAATTCATCCATAAGCAATTATTGTATAAATATTTTTGTTATAATCCAATGGTTATTATCAATTTTAATTCTTCTTTCGCATCATTGAACATTTTATGATGCAATGTAATATTCATGAATCATTACCATTCCCTCCTTTTTGTATAATTTAACTTTTAAGATTTATCAGTTATTTATTCATTATCATTATGTCCCTTTTATGAAATACTGTATTTCATGATCTTATCATCTTTATTCACTGACATTATGTCCTTTTTCTATAATACATCTAATCAATTGATCTTTATTCATTATTATTTATATCTGTAATCTAACACTTTTTATGACTCAATCCAAAAATCACCATTAATTGCTCATCTAGCTTTTTTTTGTTTGTTTTTTTTGCATAATTAAACGCTTTATGATATAATCTAATAATAATTATTCACGCAACCTTATTCGTAAAATGGGTTCGTGAAAATTATTATATGTTTAGGTCTAAAAAAAATTCATCGATCGGGAAATTATATTTTTATTCACCTATTAACCCCGTCATAACGATTGTTTTATGTACAGTATGTTCACATAACTATAAAAATTATAGACCAATGCATAAGTAACATCATAAATTCAATTTTAGAAAAAAATCTAAATACAATATTCAAAACAAAAAAAAAGAAAAAAAGAACAATATGATAAATAGAAGCCAAAGAATAAACACAAAAGAAAAAATACAATTACAAAAAAAGCAAGAAAAAAAATACACTTTAAAGCTTTATTGTTAACAAGTCAATAACTATGCTAGTATCACAGACACCGTACAGTCTACCTGATGTGTTTAGTAATGTTTCGTGCTATGTTAGTTGCAAAATAAAATATCACCGAAAACTGACCAATCGGCCTCTCTCTCTCTCTCTCTCTTTCTTTTTTTCTCTCTCTCTTTTTCTCTCACTCTCTCTCTCTCTCCCTTTCTCTTTCTCTCGCTTTCGCGCTGACTTCCTCCTCTTCTTTTACTCTTACTCTATTCTCTCTCTCTCTCTCTCTCTCTCTCTCTCTCTCTCTCTCTCTCTCTCTCTCTCTCTCTCTCTCTCTCTCTCTCTCAACCTTTACTCTCTTTTCTTCCTCTTTTTGTCGTTGCTTTTTTTTTTGCATGACATTCCTCTTTCGCTACTCACGCCATCTGCTATTATTACGAAAGCATATTTACATAAAATTTGATCGAACGAGCGCATTTGGGTTCATGAAAAGATAAAAAATATATATTACCTCGTCATCATCTTTTTTTTCTGGAGGGGAGAGGGGTAGGGGGATGGGGAAGGGAGGGGGTAGGGATGGGGAGGGAGAGGGAGAGGGGGATGAGGGATGGGGAGGAGGGGAAGGGGTGGGAGAGGGAAAAGCAGGAGGGTTGGGATATAGAGGGGGGGGGAGAGGGAGGAGGGAGAGAGGCAGAAGGTAGGGAGATAAGAGAGAGGGAAGGGGGGATAGGGAGGGAGGGAGGGAGGGGAGGAGAGTTCATCCCGCACGCTCCCCAAGGTTTGGCGAAATAAGGAGAGTTAAAAGTCGCATTAGCCATATCTGGTGCGAATTCCAACTTGCAGTCTGCGTGACGTCTCCTGCATTGAGTGAGGTTGCTAGTGTCTTGATTGAGGTTGTCGTGAGTGGTACCAGAAAAAAATAGAACTTTACTTGGTTGTTTTCTGGTCATTTCGTAGGTCATGAAGTCGTACAGGTCAAGTCAGTTCCGCGCAGAACAGGAAGTATTGTACGGTACAGGTCATTTTGAACGTATAACAGTGAGGTTGATTCAGGTCACATGTTGCAGTCGAGCTATTTATGCAAGTCATCGGCAGCGGTCTCCCAGGTCAATCATGAGTTATGGAGATCATTAAGAGGCTTTATTACAGGTCTCTAATGCCAATCATGCAGGTCATGGATGGAGGCAATTCACCCTTCGCAATGCAGGTCACACATGCCAATGACTGAGATCAGGCCAGGTCAGCGAAGCAGGTCATAAATGTCATTCATACAAGTCAAGGAATACAGGTCAACCGTGCTCATCATGCAGGCCAGTCATACGGGTCAGAACGCGGGGAAAAACAAAGCGGCGAAACAGGTCAAAGCAGGTCATTTTAGACTCCCTAGCGCGGAAAGAGTAGAGTGAAAGATAAACTAGAGTGAAGGGAGGGAGGCAAGAGAGGGGGGTGGGGGAGGAGAGGGGGGAAGGGCTTCGGGTCATCACTTATTAATTCTCAACAATAACAACGCGATTGGCAGCTCCACTACGCCATTTTTAAAGCTCTTGTACCACCGACTAACACTAGTTTTGATAAATTAGCTTATTGTTTTTTTTTCAATCTCAAGAGATCACCCAGCTTACCTCCATTGTAAACTTTCGTGATGGTTTTTAAAAATGCTTACAGGTATAACCATTATAAAAAGATTATTCTAATTGTCATATCAGCTCTCGTGTTCTAATTAATATTCACTACCTGTACATTTCTTTAGCATAAACTAATCATACAATAAGTACACAACAATGAGAGATTTCCCCTAAATCACTGGAGAAAAAAAATATACCATTTTTTATCCTAAGACCATTAATTCCTTCAAGAAAGCATACTGAGGATCTCCCGACAGTGGGCGCCATATCATTCAACATATATATATAAAAAAAATGTTCCAGAACATCCACACACGGTGAGATAATCGAACACACGGCTACTGTACACTGAACCATTGTACCCGAGATTCGTACTATTTACTTTATTACACAGGTCGTTGCGTGGGTGTAAACGAGCGATTAGTGTCACATCATCAATTAAGGTGTAATTAACAGGTTCGCGTGGTAATTAGCAGGTCACGGAACCTTCGGAGATTCTTGAGATATTGAATTTGTGTATATACAAAGTTCATCGTCAGCAGAAGATGAACTTAACTGGACCTTAAACTTATCGGAAAAATGGCCAATGATTTGTAATGTACAACAGTTCGCATGTCTGACGGCCGCCGGTTATACACTGGGGGCGGCGTCCTTGAGGAGGTAAGGAGAGGCGACAGCTGGTAGCGTCCTCTGGGGAAGGGTTGGCCGGGGAGTCGGAAGGCGCGTCCTGCTGCTCGTGGGCGTGGACGTGGGCGTGGGAGTGGCCGGGGGCGCAGGGGCGGCGGAGGGCGTCGCCATGCTGGAGGGCTGCGACATGCCGGAGTGGATGAGGTGGAGGGCCAGCGCCTGGACGTCGGAGGGGGAGGACACCTTGCCGCCCACGACACCTGCAGGAGAAAGACGTGCGTGTTAGTCATGGAAATAGGTGCCTGATGGAGGTGAATTAGGTGTTTAAAAAATAAAGTCAGTTCATGCGCTTCCTATAAGAGGTTCTAAAATGCCCTAATACGCTTTAATACTGACGTCTATTTCGGCATGTCTTCAAAGAGGCTCCAGAAGACACGTTTTCGAGAACGCAGACTATTATGAGCTTTTGTTAATACCTTTGTGGGAAGACACGGGACCTGTTAGGCTTTTTGTCCCTTTCAAACGCGGGAACAAAAGAATATGCAAAACAATTAATGCCTCGTCATCGCGCCCTGTCACTGCGGAGGATCCCTAAGGAGCCCTTCGCCGTCTTATCCTACAACGCCTCCTTTGTGAGGGCCCATCGAAGGAGTGTTGTGGCCCATTGTCGGTGTGTGCCCACGCCGCCTCGCCCAACACTCGGGCGGCCGCACAATAGGCTCAGCGCAGCCACCATGACTGGCCCCGCGGACGCCCAAGACAGCTGTGGCGCGTCTCTATTACCCGCCGCGCCTTCTTCGGCCAGCCTCCTCCTTCGTGGAACAAAGGCCTCGCATTGCATTAATCAAATACCCATTAATTCACCTC